GCTGTAGGACTCAAACAGCTGGAGACAGTTAATTGCTCACAGATCCAAGTTTCTTTCGAGACAGCACTCTGCCCCAACGCTCTCGCTCTTGCACCTTTTTCTCAGGGTCATGCTACAAGTCCTTCTGTGGCTCTCCTGGCTTTCTTCTGCCTTCTCTGGGTCTTTCTGTGGTGTTTCTCACCCACACACGCCTGTGCAGTCCAGTCGATCCCAAGCCCTATGTTTGTTATCAGACTCCCAGGAAACTGCTTAGGTCACATGGATCAACTCCTGCTCCAGCTTTGCCCGTGGCCTGTGTTTTAGGGGGAGGCTCCTATCGCTTTGGCTGTCTGTTCCAGAAAAGAGCTGAGTGCCTTACACATTTGTCCGGAGTGAAGACCAGCTATCACATGCACCAGCCTCAAGGCGGTTTCACCCAACCCCCCAATATAGTGAATATAGTAATGGGAGGGGAGTGAGGAATGTTTAAAGGCATGGTGGTTTAGGGCACTAGCCCCAGTCCTCTAGAGGCTAGAGCACAGGGGGTGGGGGTGGGGAGGATAAGGAGATCATTAGGGACATGATTTTGGGAGGCCCATCGTAGTCTCTGGGTGACATTTAGTCATATGACAAAAATCACCATATGAATTAGCAATCTCTACCATGGAGAGCTCATGGGAGAGATAGGGTGCTTCTAGTCAGAATTAGAGTATGTTACCGAGCTGTGGAAGGTGCCCACAACTGGAATAGCCTGGAGGAGGCGGTACACAGGTCAGGAATAAGGTGCATTGGCAGGGCTGTGGGGGGGGGGGTGAGGGGGGGTTGAAGGGTGACTGGGACTCAGTGCCATCAGTCCTTCAGTACTACATTTCCTCCATACATTCAGCCAAAGAAACCCATGGGCATTATGTCCCAGTTCTGCAGGCAGCTCCTGGGTTACTCCAAGGGGAAAGAAAGCAATGTTGCTGTCCTAGACAGAGTGACGAGAGCTCCCTTTGCTTTGTGGCTTGATTCACCCCTGTGTGATCACAGCTAGGGTGGCGAAGAGACGGGATGCACAGCCGCAGCTCCGTGATTCAGTGCCATGTTGCCCTGGTGTGCGATAGCTGCATGAGAGCAACCCTAGCTTAGGCTTCCACCAGTGGAAGATCAGGCATAAAGCTTTGCCATGACCCCATTCTGCTCACACCTTGCCCTCAGAACACTCCCTCCTTCCTCTGCCACAGGGTGTGGGAGGAGGGGGGCAGGAGACACATTGCTGCCTCCACCTGTGCAGAGGGGATTCTCTACTGGCCATCTCCTGCTGCTTGCAGTGGCCGTAGCAGACCAGAGAATCCAGCCGTTTCTCTTCAGCTGGTGGTGGGGTTGGAGAAAGTGTGCGGCACAGATGGTCACCTACCCTTCTCTGTGGTTTGCTTTGCTTAAGGCCTTTTGCAATTTGAATACAGCAGAGAATCTGATCAAATTGGTGGACTTCAGAGCAACTGTAATTAACCAGTTTGAGGAAGCTACCTTCTACAGCCTGAAGGGTGAGGTAAAGAGACAGCAAGACATTGAGGAACCTCTTTATGTATCTGGTTGGGGACATCTATGGAAGATGATTGCAGGTTTCCTGTGTCTCCCTCCTATGTCCGTACAACCTCATCCAAAACTAAAAGTCCAAACTACTGGATGGGCTCGCATGCCCCCTTTGCCTTAGGCGGGGCCACTAAGTTGTCTCTCACAGCTATCTTAAATGAGGAGTGGAGGACACAACAGTTTCAATGAGGTTTAACCCAACCCACTCTCTACTCCCCACCTCCGCCCTTGGCTCCAGCATTGATGTCATGCTAGAAAATGGCAGCTGAGAGCTCCACCATTTCGGAACATGCAGTTGACTGATAACAAACGGTCTTTGTCTCACTCTCGCTTCCCCTCTGCAGGTCTGTTATAACATGGGCCAAATGAATTTGTCAAAGAAATTTATCAGGAAGGCTTTGATTTTATTAAACAGAAGATTCCCATTTATCTTGATTGGAGTCTTTTTTAAGACTCTGATGGAAGTGTCAAAGCACGCGTCTCACCAGAAGAAGCAGCAATTCTTGTATAGTCGCAGTAAAGGGTAGGAAGTAGAACTGGAGTAAAACCAAGTTGGGTGGATTTTACTTTAGTCTCTGGTTGTCATTTAGACCTCGATCCTGCAAACACTTAAGCACATGCTTAATTTGAAGTATGTAACTTGCAAGCTTCAAATTAAGCATGTGAAGAGTGGGGTTTTTAAAAAATGGTGTTCACACACTGTAGGGAAGAGGGAATTACAGATACGTGCATTCCCAATGGTACAGTACTTTAAAGCAAGGCATTTATTTTGGAAAACAGGAATCGATTGCAAAGAAATGCATTTGCTTTTGAGAATATTTTTATACTCCTTGCTACTGCTGAAGGCATTATTTCCAAATGTTGGCCTGTTCTTGCTAACCAGCCTCGTCATAGGAATGCTCATATTTCAGTCTGGGAACAGTGATTCAATTTACCCGTTTGTGATAAAAATGGGTGCAACATATGTAAACAAGTTTTAAGGTTTTTATTTGCACTATAAATAATCTACTTGAACAGTGCCAATGCTTTAACAGAATGTATTCTACTGCATGGCTGCGTAATGTGTTTACAAGCATTCTTTTAGGTTGTGGATCAAGAAGTCCTCATCTTAGTGGTTCGGGGATGTCCTAGGTGAAGGGGCACCTGAGATTAGGAGAAGCTCTTTTGGGAGCCATGGGCTTTGGGGCCAACGGGGGCAGAGGGAGCAAGGAAAAGCATCTGGTGTTATGGAGATACCCTTTGGGCCGTGCAGGATAGTGTTGTTGGGGATTCAAGCAGAGAGAGAGAGATGAGGCGGTGGGGGTATCAGCATGAGGGGCTGGAGGTACCCAGGAAGGGGAGATATCAGAGTGGGGTGCATAATGGGGGAGGTGCTGTGGAGGGGGAAGCTGGGGGAGATGATGG